AACTCATTCAATTACAATTCTGCTGTGAAATAGTGGAAAGATATCGTCTTCGTTGAAATAACTTTCGCACGCACGAGAAGAATTCCTATAGAATTATCAATTATCGATCGTTGCCTTCTGTCATTTCTTCAACAGTTTTTTCAAGGCGACGTGTAATGTAAAAAAAAAAAACATAAAGTGAAAAATTGCGTTACCATCAACTTTATTGCGTCGTCAGCTTAGCCTAATTGTCAGTGAATACTGAATAATCTGTGCAACATGTACAATGCGATTTACAAGAATCTCGCGTCGATGTTCTTGCGTACGGTTTATTGGAAGGTGAGAATATATCTGGAGTCGCCAGCTGCCGGCGCCTGATAATTCGCCGTGTAAGAGGTATAACTCAGGGGGTTGGCTAGAGACACCACGCTCGAGGGGTTGTCATACTGATATTGCACCTGCGCGGCCACCGGCTCGATCTCGAGTTTCTGCGGCTTAGCCTCCGCGGATGCAACCGCGGTGACCGGAGCGACCGGGGCGACAGATAATTGCACTCCAGCTGGCAGGATCTGCAGCTTCTGCAGAGGTGCGTACGCGTAGATCGGACCACGAAGAGGCTCCACGTTTTCGGCGCGAATTTTGGCGAAGTATTTCATGGCCTCGACATCCTGGCGGCTGATGTATCGCACTCGTTGAAGACGACCATCGGGAAGGGCCACGTAGTACTCCCCGGATTGCTGAGGCTGCTTCGTGTCCACGTCCTCGTCCTCGAGCTCGTTCACCGCGTTCACGGGTTCGGACTGAAAGAAGGATTTAATTTTATATTTTATATTCTTTATAATTTATATTCTTGTTTAATCAATTGCTATCATCATCAATCAATGATTTGAATTGAGATTCTATTTGAAAAGTAAAATAAAATTACTTGATTATATTGTAGAGAATGTATATAAATTGAAAATATTTATGTTAATATATAAATATGTAGAAATGAAGTCTATTTTCAAATTCAAGTTGCAATCGTAACAAGATTTTTTAAAAAAAGTTCTTCGATATGTATCTAAAAAAAAATTACAGATACGACACGAAAAATTGTTTATTAAATAAATCTGCAAGAACTACGTATGTTATATAAAGCAATAATTGTGCGTTTCTCGGTAAAAGAAAATTTCTCTGTTTTTATCCCGCCAAACAAAAGACGTAGGCTCGCAGACGACCTCGAATCACGGGTGAATGCATTACAGGTTGTGTCACGCCAGTCTTCGAATTTGGTACGGACACACACGTGCTCGAGACCCGCGATCGAAAGTAAACGGCGTCTCGAATACTAATGTCGTTAGGACAGCGGGAGAAACGACGAGAACGAACGAACGTCGAAGATCGAAAAAGAAGCACCTCGGTGTGCCAGTGCGATTTAAATTCCGCCAAACCTTTTCCGCTCTCGCGTAGGCTCACATGCCAACTCGATGCTTCTCAGCATGTTCTCTCTTCGGAACGAGAAGATAAATCTATGTTACGTAATGTTACATAAAGCCGGAAAACAGGCACGTACGACGTGTGAGATTTGATCAACTAAAGGCTGGAAATTTCTGGCAATTTTCCCGATAGGCTTCTCAATAAATTGATATTGAAGTCGCGATTAATTATCTATCATATCTCTATAGATAGAAAGATACAAGAAAAAAAAGAAATTTTTTACTAAAATTCCATTTACATTTAATATGTAAAATAGTAAGCTATGTCAATAAATATCGTATATTCGTCAGTTTCCAATATATATATATCAATTTAATAGATTTGAAATTCTTTGTATCGAAAATTTAATCGAGATTCTTTTTCCTTATCTTGATTTTCAGCATCACGCAAATTAATAATTCCAAGAGAGAGAAGATTCGTGTTTTACTTACCTCAGACTCAGTGATGCCCCGAACGGTAGATATCTCTTCCTCTTCGGTGGAATTAGAAATTTCAGTCGTCGTGGATTCTTCCGGTGCTCCGTACTCTTGTTGAGGACCGGTTGGTGCTCCGTATTGTTCCTGAGGCGCGCTTGGTGCTCCGTATTGCTGCTGAGGCGCGTTTGGCGTTCTGTATTGCTGCTGAGGTGCGTTCGGCGCTGCGTATTGCTGCTGAGGTGCGTTCGGCGCTGCGTATTGCTGCTGAGGTGCGTTCGGCGCTGCATATTGCTGCTGAGGCACGTTCGGCGCTCCGTACTGCTGCTGAGGTGCATTTGGCGCTCCATATTGTTGCTGAGGCGCTCCATTTTGCTGCTGTTTTTGAGGAAGATTAAAGGCAGGTCCCTCTGGTTTCCAACCAGACGCGGGATACGGCGCGGCCTCCTCCTGTTGACGGGCGAAGTAATATTGTCTCTGTTGCTGATATTGCTGGCGATACCTCGGCGGCTCGGCGAGAACCACGGCGGCCAAGAGAACGACGCTGACGAGTATCTGTTTAGTACGAAAATCAGATCAATTCGCTCAATATTATTGCAATAAAATTATGCGAGGCATTATTTACTGAAAAGATCGATTAAAATCTTTATCTTTTTAATCAGCGTTTTTCCAAGAAAAAATGTTGTAATAATCTAAAATAAATTAATGACTTAATAACTACCTTCATCGTTGTACGATGGCAGTTAACTAGTTGTGTTGACGAGCTGACTGACTTCTGCCGTCCATCGCCAGTGGATTATATACACGGCGTCTCGTATGCGTTCTGCATGTCTAAGGAGGATATCCCGCGATCGGGGTAGCGACGCGTTCACCGGTCGGCGGGTGACATTGGCCTCTTAAAAGAAACTGATGAATCCTCGATCATTGTTGGCTCATCATCCGGCCGTTCGCGCGTTCACCTTCGCCTTTGTCGGCGAGCGGGCACCTTTTTAACAAAAGCTCTTCACTGCTCGGCAGTGAAGTACGGCCGACTTCTTCGGCTTCTTCTCGGCTTCAAACTCCACCTCTCGCTCTTTTCCGCGCGTTGTGTTTGTTCCGGGCGCACGAAGCGAAAGAAATCGCGCTTCTGTCCTATCGACGATTAAATTTAAAACGGATTGAACGCGTGTTCGCGTTCGCTACACCCGGAGATTCACCACTTTTGCCACGAAACGATATATTTCTTTATATAATATCATTATAAGTTACATAACATGCCACTTATTTTGAGAAAAACTTAAATTACATTTTGAAAATAAAATAAAATTAATATTAAAATTAAGGTAAGAAAGCTAAATAAAAGAATTAAATTTTTTTTATTATTCATGTCACGTTGCTATTAATGTCTCGAGAACATTTTTATTCATATAGACTCATTATAATTTACAAAAAGAGCACCGTAGGTTCGCA